TGGGCAATTATGATGGGTCGGAGAATATTTTTAAACTTTTGAATAATTTATTTAGTTTATAAGTTTTTATAATCGAAATATACTCGTTACAATTGAATATTGTTTAATTATTTCTAATGATATATAACTCCTTTTTAATATAAGGTATTATAAAGTATAAAGTATAAAGTAAAAAAATCGATTTAGAAACATTTTAAAAATTAACCCTGGAAATGGCACATCCAAGTTTCTCAAATATAGCACGATTTTTTTTTTAAATTTAAACTATTATTTCAAATTATAATATTTCAATTCTTCAATAATCAAAAATAAATTATTAAAATACTTTAAAATATATTTATAAAAATTGATATAAATATCGATTCAAATAGAATTTTTCTTCACATACTATTAAATATTTTCAATTTCTATTTTAACTGTAAACAATTTCAATCTATTGTAATTATTAAAGTATTTCTAATTATTAAAGTTTATCAAGGCTTGCAAAGAATGTAATAACGGTGAGTAAAGAACGAGCAGACAGAGAATGAAAATTGTTTGTAATTGATAAGATAGAAAACACGTTAACAAACGGTATTAATATTGATGACTATGTATGCGTTGGTGGATGCTCGTGCATGTGAATCGACATATATGTGTTCTCGCGCGTAGGATACACACACACACCCATCTACGTGTCGAATAACAATGGGGTGGCAACGTTATCGATAAATTACCATTACCGTTAGTGCCACTGTTGGTTACGTTATCATGTAGCATCTCTATTCGCGAATGATGTGCTGTACTGATAGTCTATTTAGCTTCCTCACATGACGAGAACAACACTACGTATAGATGTGTACATCAGCTATTTATTTTACGTTTCTTCTTATTTTCCGTCTTCTTTTATTTCGAATAATAGAAGTCTTATTATTAAATATTAATTGAATTATCATTATCACATTAAATATTATACAAGAATAAAATAATTAAGAATTATAATGAAAGTTAAGGAAAAGTTGGTAGATAAAGAATTTTTAACATAATATTAATTAAGATTTAAGGCACAAAATGATTATTCGAATAAAAGTGGAAACTTTAACTATTAATCGAATCATTTTTGTTACACTGAATGAAAAATAAAAAATGTTAGTAGATAATAGGAGACTAAATATTAAGGAAATATAGATCCAAGCATGGATATTGTATCTAATAGAAATTAAAAAATATTAGTGGATAATATGGATCCAAGCATGGATATTATATTTAATGAAAAGTAAGGGTAAAAGGTATATTAGTGGATAAAGAATTTTAATAGAATATTTTCTGCTTGAATTAAATTTACATCTACATTTTATTACAAAAAAAATTAGAAATTATATTTGATGGAAATAAAGAATCTTACAATTAGATTATAAATCTGAAAATAAAGAAATGACATTATTATTGAAAGCAATTCATAATAGATTTATTTAAAAATTCAATTGTTAATTGAAAGATCTTTATTTTAATTTATAAATCCTTCATTTACTATTTATTTAGTTCTCAAGAAAATATATTGTTGATACATTTATACTTGCTACTTAATATGTATATATATTTTTCTTATTTTCTTATTTTTTAGATTATTTTTTAGATTATATATTCGTTTTATTTATGTATCTATTATAGATCATGGAAATAAATGAACTAATTATGGGAAATTACGATTCTTATAATGAATCGAACGTGTAAATGATATAAATAATGAATATCCACGAGTCGTATATTCAAGATATATTTATTTATTTAGCTATATATATGATATCGTAGATTTTTTATTATGAAGTATATAAATGGATAATATATAAATCTGTAGTCTTGTTTACCTTTTTTCACTTGAAAATTAAAAGAATAAATATCTGATGATTTTTCTGATTTTTACTGTAATTCGATTCTAAATTAATTTTAAAATATTTCTCTTTGATTTATATTTATATTTATATTTATTTATTAATTTATCGAGATTTAATAACGTAAATTTTATATTATATTCCTTAAAAGAAATAACTTCTTTTCTCTTATACACTCGATTCTAATATAAATAATAATTAATATTAAATTTTACAAAACTTCAAAGAGTATTTTTACATTCTTTCGTTTTTTGATTCCATCGATTCATATATTATAAATATATAATTTTACACTTTTCATAAAATGTAACATGAAATAAGAACAAACGATTGTACAAAATATACAAACAAAATCGTAACTTTCAAAAAACGTAAAAAAAAAAAAAAAGAGAAGAACAAATGATTACAAAAAGATGCAAATAAAATCGTTGGAACAATAAATTAATTCACTCCTAGATTGACAAAAGTTAGATCTCATTACATTTTCAATATAAAATCAGCACCTTTGTTAAATTTATTTTCACTACATGGTTCTGATAACGTATCAATATATAAAGATTGATAATATCAGACAATAAACATCCCTTCCCTGATTCTCTGCATAATGAATGAAACGAGCTTTGTTTCTCTTCCTTTAGCAAACTCTATTCGAATATAATAAATGAGCGTGTCGCGCGAGCAGGTTTTCAAGCACGAAGCATTGATGGAAATTTAATATGATGAAAAAGACACTTGAGGAGGATTTTAATATTGCCAATCTGTCAGAAACAAAGCAACACGATTCTCTTGCGTCACCGCATGATTAATAATTTATTATTTGTCCACCAGTAGGTCGTTTAGTGCACCACTGACTTTACATGTTTAATTTTAAAAGAATTTTATTTTGAAAGATTATTTAAAAATATATTGGAACGATCCAGTATACACTATTGAATCCATTTTGATCATTTTAAAAAATTTTTTTAAAGTTCTAAGCTAATGTTTTAGAATTATTTTATTTTTGGAAAGTAGTTATGACATGAATAATATTAATAATATATATTCGTTTTAAATATATATATATATATAATAATTTTAATGGTAGATTTTTATAATAAATATAAATAAATTTAAAATAAATATATATATATTGAAGATGGAATACAATACCGGAAAAATAGTGATGATTTACTGTCGATTTTCAATTCTTACCAAGTGAAACTGCTAGAACATGTAAGTATTATATCGTTTGAAATTTTCATGATTATTTAAAGTATAGTGAATTCTTTCATTTTTAATATTTTACAAAGTTCGAGATACGATAGAAAGAAGTATAAATTTTTCATAGGCAATTTCTGATGTCAATCTTATTGCATCTTTAAGAAACGTATTGCATAACAATTTGAAGTTGCTTGTTTCTGGTAACCATGTTGAATGCAAACAATAATATATGAAGTGTTTTTATTTTTAATGTATACAAAGAGATAAATTATTAACACGATGCCTATTTTAAAATGAAAAATAGATTTTTATGATAATATAAGTGAAGTATATTATTTTAAAAATTAAAATTAGATTTACTAAACATTATCTAAACATTAATACTTCTTAATAATTATAAAAATAATTTATGATTCTGCTTATTATTCTTCCCTATCATATTATTACTTTCATTTCATACCACAAATTTCATGCTATTGAACCGTATAATTTAAATTACAATTAAACGTATATATTTGGCTAATGATTTTTTATTATCTTTCATTTCGTTTTTAAGATGTCGTTATATTTTCCAATTTACATTTTATGTCTTTCACTTATTCCTTCAAAATTCATTCATCTTATTTCTAATTATATCATCAATTATTGAACATTCTATATACTAACATTTTAAAAATGATTAAACGCTTTCAAATTTTCTTAAACAATCTAACATATTTTATTGCTTACATTATTCTTTGCCTTTTTTATATTATTTTCATATCTACTAATTACATCATTATCTATTACAAATTTCATGTTATCAAATAATTTAAATTAATAACTCTCATTTCTTCTTTCTTCAATCGCGAAGAGAAAAGATTATTGCATTAAAAAGTATGTACACACTTTTTTTTCAACAAAACATCTGTCAGAAATATTTATTTTAAAGTTTGTTCAAAATCAATTTATAATTTTCCAAGATAAAATTCATTCTCTGTTGACAACATTCTAACAGAGTTGGTGGCTTTGACTCTAGGATGAAAGTTGCTCTAGCTAACCAGCCGGCTAGCTAGAGCCTGGTCTGGCTACTTTCTAAATTTAGGCGGTGTTGCTTTCACGAGCCGAATTTCTGGACGAAATCACGTAACATCTAGGGGTACACACGGTCATCATTCTCGATACCGTATCGGCCAATAACGTTAATCGAGCCGCGTACAAAAACAGTTCATCAATTTCCCGCTTTTACGCGTTGTAAACGATGTTTCACTGTTAAATCCAGACGACTAACAACGATTTATGTTTGCGTTTAATTGCACTTAACGACTTGTTAGATAAAAAATGAAAAATATTGTCGAAATTCTGATAAATATTATCAACAAGAGCCGTATATACATATAACGGAATTTTATAGAGAACGATTTCAATTTTCCAACAGATTTCTTTCCTGAAAACATTCTTTTTTTAATCAAAGCATGATTTCAAAAGGTACAATGATCAATATTATTTGTCTCGTTATATATTTATATCAAATATAATCCTATAACACGCGAATACAAGTGAAAGATAGAAAAATAATTATTAAACGAATCACTAGTACGAAAAATTTAAATAAAAAAGTAAAATGAATAAATTATTAATCAATTATTAATTAAAGATTCCAATTTTATCATATTTAATAAGTATATTTTTCATTTCATAAACTATCTTTCCATTTCGATATCGATAAAATAAAATTTACAACTCGAAACGTAGAAATTCATTTCTCTGAACGTTCCTCAACTTTCGATCGTGACCGAACGCTTCCTCGAAACCGCCCTAAAAAAAAGATGGCGATAACGGGACCGGTAGTAACGTTCACTCCAGCAAAGTCGAACATCGTCGTTTACGATGAAAGAGGTTCCACAGCTAATTGCTCTCTATGAAATACCCTCGATGCAATGCCGATTGAAATTAAACTGGACGAGAAATAGTTGGAATCGTATGGTACACCATACGTATGTATCGAAGAGCATGTGATTCACGATATGAGTCAAGCCTGGAGAGGAGAGAAGGCGCGCCTGGATCGCGCGTTTTCTAACTGGCCATTTCGAACGCAACTTAAAAGATCGGAAGGGGCTGACCGAGATCGGTGTTCTGGAATCTCGATTTCTCGGTGCACTTACCTGTTCGAGCATTTGTTATCGGTACAACGTAGAGATAAGTTGGATAATTAGGATAGGTTTTCTTGACGATTTGCGGAGAAAAGTTATGTTATTAGGAAGTAAGTTATGCGTTATGACTTTTTTTTTTTTTTATTATTTTATTATTTTCTTCCTTTCTTAGCGAGATCGATTCAATTCGTCTTTGTGAAGAGATTATTTTGTAGTACAATGTACAGTTAGTCAGTAGAACTATCCGGAGTATTATCATACTTCTAGAATCTAATGAACGGTTTTTCATTATGCGTTCTACTTTCTTTTTAAATAATTAAGATGTCGTTATAACGAAATAATAAATATATATAAACAAGTGAACAAAGAGCAATGCTTAATACGATAAATTTTACAAAATTCAATTTAAAATTTCTCCTAAATTAAGCTTCTTGTTGAAAATAAATAATCTTTTTCTTTTCTAAAAAAAAAAACAACACATCGAAAGTGAAGTTAATAAGTGAAAAATTTTTGTTTGAAATACTCTTTAAAAAGTATTCAAGTTGTTCCCCAAAAAGAGTCCACCTGTTATTTCAATATTAAACACATTACTACGCTTATAGGAACTATTAAAATTTCAATATAATTAAAATTTCAATACACGATCTTCCCAGAGTAATCCAATCAAAATTCACTTGCTGCTAATGCTCAAACAATATGAATTTCTTAATCTCCATAAATTATCCATTTTAGTTCCCATGTCAAGGCATCGGGGAATCATCAAGGCGAGCACACAGGAACAAATCTTATCGACGTGTCGTATCTTATTTCGCGAGATTCGTTCCATCTTATCGCATTTATCGGCTATACAAATCTGTTAATTCCGCCGATACGCGCGTGGAATGCCTTCGTATCATCCCCCTTCGCGACCACCAAGCTTAGAATCGGTGATTCACTCTGACTCAGCGGTTCGTTTCGTCGTATTTAATGTCCTGGAAGCGGGGAATGATGCGCGGCAAAAGTACGAACGCCGCAGGTTGATCAGTCACTATATTCTTCGCGTCATGGAGCGAAAACTTCCGCGAACTTGCGCGGCTATTCGACGTCTAAATAATAACCGAACGAGAATCTGCTCGATACAGATTGGCGCAAGAGCAACGAAAGAAAACGGGAACAAGTCGATGTTCTCCTTTGTTCTTGGCAAAGATTTTTCACCCGGTGTTGCGTAACACGGATCATTGGAGACCGAAGCGACGCCATTCTACTTATATGATTTTATGATGGAGAAAAAATTGGAAGAAATTATAGGATGAAAGGAAAATTTGGGATGAAATTGAGAAAATAAAAAAAATGCTAAAATTATTTAATCCTTTGAAATGTTAGAATTTCTAATTTTATTGTCAATAAGATATGGAGCTTAATTAGGAATAAGATTCTATTTGGAAAATAGCCTATCATTTCTATAAATAAATTATCTATTGCATTCTATATTTATATAATATTAAATCATGTTTAAATATTATTTATTATGTCATCGTTTAAAGATAAATTTTCTATTAATAATTGAAATGTAATAAGCATGAAAGGTGACTATTCTTTATTTTTTGTTCTTTGGACACTGAAAGTAAATTGAGATTTTTGTAAAGAATAAAATAGATTGAAATTTTAAAGGATAATAATTCTAGAGTTAGAAATAAGGATAAAAATTGGTATGTAAAAATATTTGCTAAAGTTTATTTTTCAAATTATACGCAATTTAATTTTGTACTGAAAAAAGATAGAGGAAAAGATTGGAATAGAATAAAATTCTATTTTTTGTTACATTCTATTTTTGTATTACATGAAAAAGAAGAAGAAAAAATATTACATAATGGAAATATTTATAATATGGACTACGGTACCGTCGATCTTTATTCATGAATATTAGTATCTTTACGTGTGATGATCAATCTGTATTTTTCGAAAAATGATTAATTAACGAGAATTTTGTATTCATGCAATTCGAAGATTTTTATTAACATCGAATATGTATATAAATTTTTTTCCAACTAATAATTTTAATTATTTTCTAAATAATAATATATCATACAGCTTCGCCTTATTTCTCATAAATAAATTAAAACATAGATATATCTCCAACGACGAATTTTCGATAATTAAAAATAAAATTACACTTCGAATTTTTTTTAAATCAACAAAAATTTAGCCAGTATTTCTGCAATTATACACAACGTAAGAACAACTATTACGTGCTTCCTCATACCACCAGCTCGCGTGATACGTACGAGTAAGCGTCCACCTCTCGAATATTTTATAGTCAAAGACCTAACGATATCTTTCTAACCCCCATTGAGTATAAATATTACTTTCGTACCACATTTTGCCTAACACAATCCCTCAAATCCACCAGTAAATTCTCTCAACCCCGCACGTTACATACCGCGAAATACATATCCATAAAGACAACATTACATTAATAATATGAAAACGTTCGCTCTGGTGGAGATCCTCCATGGCCACGATCGAACTGTTTTCGCGGTGGCCGCCAATTGGATGAAATATACATCGAGGTCGGTCGATCGTCGGCCGAACTTTTCGTTTCTCTCGTCTTTCGAAAATCGTTACCACTTTCCAATCCGTTGGAAAACAGTTCTTCTTTTTCTTTCGGTTGTCGCGATTAGGGTGAAAAAGCGGCGAGAGGTATCGCGATAAAGAGGAGTGGAGCGTCGTGGAAAAGCAGAAAGAAGAGCAAGAGAGAGAGAGAGAGAGAGAGAGAGAGAGAGAAGGAAGGAAGAAGAAGAAANAAAGAAGAAAAGAAAAGGAGAAGGAGACGAG